TTTAATGCTGCTCGTGTGCATGTTAGAATGGTTACTTTTTGTTCGGGGAAGAAGTAGCAAGAGGTCTGCATTCTGGATAATGTGTAATTTCCTAAGCAACACAAAGCAAACAGCTATATAGACAGATCTCAACATAGATTTAGATGGATTATGCCTTGCGGCAAGAGCACGTTCGCTGCGGTTAAAGTTAGGCCCTGGATCAAGAAGAGAACGGCGTACAGGGCAGTTCTGTTGGGTGCATTTTGGTGGGTTCTTTTTGCCGGCAAAATTGAAAACCTCGGGGGGGGGGTTCAAATCCCTCCTTGGGTGCGCCACCGCACGAGCAACCCCACCACGGTGACAAGGAAAGAGGTCTTATTGCTGTTGCGTGCTGGCGGGGGAGGGGCGGCCGCCAAAAGGTTTGTGCACATTCAGATGGAAATCGATCTTGCGCATTTTGCACCATACGTGCGTAAACCAGAGCGGGCACGCGCTGCACCTGGACACCCGCAAGTGACCTCCCAGCGTCGCCCTGTTCCAACATTTTGTCTTTTTAAGTGTGTCCAGTTTCAGAAGAAAAGTATTTATCGAGCCGTTGTCGAACCACTGACAGGATATTGGACATAATTGGGAGTAATCATTCTCAGATAACCACCAGCACTGACATGTCGACACCGTTCATTTCACGCTTAGTGACAGTCACTTCACACCTAGCAAGCGCGAAGATCGGCAGGAAATTTGCTTGTACATTTCTGCCTCACCGTGACTGGTCCATTAGAAGGCGCCCATCATTGGAATAAAATTTAATGGATTACTGACGGAATTATTGAGTGCGTGCGTTATTAACAACATCCTGGATTGGCCGGCACCTAGGCTGTGGAAAGAGATGTCTGGTTTTGGCGAGGAGCCTGCCTGCCTGCCAGCCCTGTCTGTACCATTTACTACTACGATTTGATTTCCGGGCTGCCTCAGTGGAACTTCTGTTCCGAGACGGTCGCCTATAGCGTGACCTGTCGGATAAATTTGGAGGACAGCCTACGTTATGATCATCCGGTCGTGGGGCTTCAGGTGGCGTTGCCCCCATCACATCCGCCACCCAGGTCTCGCTGATTGCCGTTTAATCGGCGTCTCGTCTTGACATAATGAGCCGAACACATGCATGGGCTGTAATAACGCTCGTCAACAATTCAAATCTGGTGAGATCCACTGAGGTTGGAAATTGCTTTTCCACGGACGGCATGTATGATTATTTCTACTGATTACAACGGTATAAAATAGTGGCGTCAGCTTAATTTCAAGTTCAACGGTGCATCATTTGACCCTGCCATAGCAATTCTAGTGCACAGTTTTGTGTTCCATTGCATTGTGTATTGCGCCTGCAGGCTACGGACGTGTTTTTCCGTTGCACCTAGCCAGATGCATCTGACCTTAATTTTGTAATTGATTAATTAATTTACCTGTGCGGCTACAGGCGGGTTCTCGGAGGGCAGCTGGCCAGTCGCGTTGGCTTACATTTGTTGAAGGTCAACCAGATCTACAATTATATTATCTATAAACGGAATTACGTCTTTGTCTTAAATCGCTTCGGATAATGTTGTATTACTGGCGCCGCTCGAGGGCGCCATCGCTGACAAACGAGGCACCGACTGCCTCATCGACGTACATTCGCTCGTTCCTACTGCCCTGTCCAAGGACACTCGTGCATATGACAGGTAGGCCTACTCTTGAACAAAAATGTTAAAAAGCACCGTGCGTTATGAATAGCTTACTATTCGTTGAGCCCTGATGCAGGTGTAGGATACCAAATACGACACCATCGTGCACGCACTCGCGGAACTTAGAGCGCGTCAGGACACTAATTAGTATGAAGTACTTTATGCGGCTTTCGTTGCCATTCTTTGGGATGTCTGGTTTCACTTTTCGTTACTATGATTTCGGTGACTGAGAGCCGTTGCTATTTTGTTTCAGACTGTTTATTTGTTCATCGGGATCAAGACATCAAAGTTATGATGACTTCAGCAAACCCGTTCTCCCGGCTAATAAACTGCCCGGGGCCGCTGGTAACACGAACCGGTTTACAGAGGTCGCCTCATAATCTGGCAGCTGCACAGCCCAATCAGGGCCGCCATTAGCCTAACGCATGGTTTATTCGGTAACCAGAATGCGCGAACTGTACACCCTGGCAAACACTGTTACCATAATATTCCGTAATGCCCGTCAGCGGTTGTGCCGTCTCGAGTGTCACCCCAATCTCCGTCCCTTCGGTCGGTCGGGAATTTTCGCAAATTGACCGCAGCAGTGGTGGTCAAATCATCGGCCCCTTCTCAAAATTTGTCTACCTCGTCTCATGAAGGTACATGTATCATCATCGTGGCAAGAACAGTCTTTGCATTGAAAAGTATTAGGCCTACCCAAAACTAACTTTGAATCAACTTGTCACCAAATTTTGGTATCTTGGGTCCTGAAGTTTATCTTGTGGCAGTTTCGACTGCAGACACGCGAATTCTGTGCATAATCTGGAAATGGGAAAACGGCCCTAAATTGTCACCCGTGTTACCAACTAGGCCTAAATATTGCAAACATGAATGTCGTGCAACAAAACACTATACTATGGGCATTTCTGTAGTTATTTCTGACTGGGCATCCACAGTCCTCAAGTTGAACCATAGAGCAATATGTTGAACATAACCGGTCGAACATCGGGCAGAATAATTCTAGCGGCACATGACGAAATCCTGTGTATGGAGGTAGGAATCCGCTAGCGAACACCGCTAGGGTTGCCATTTTGCCAATCGTCTTTATGCCCACAAATTGGTGTTTGTATTGCTATTTAAGCCGATACACACTGCGGGGCAGGTGCCCACAATGGCAGGGCACCAAGGAGACCAGCGATTGTCCAACATGGCCGATTCAATGCCGGGAGAAGAGTGGGGGAACAGAAGGAAGGAATTAAAGCGTTTTATGGCTTCAGTCGCAAGTCCCGTACAATCGGCATGCAATCAAGACGATCATTATATATGGGGGCGATATTTTCTGCTTGCGCGAACGCGTTTGTGTACTGAGCGCGCCAATAAGACTGCCGAGGATGTAGGCCTATAACGAGTTTCGCTCGATAATTTGTCATCGAATAAAAAGGGATAAACTGGCTAATTAACCAGTCCTGGCTTTTTAAAGGCTTCCAATTTCCTGTAATTTCCCAGCTTGTGGATATCCACTCTATATTTTCTCACCTTGTCGTCCAGGAAACCGCTGTCGTCGTGGTTGCAAAATCTTGCATGCACAGGGTTGTATTATAACTCCCTGCTTTGTGCGGTCATTATTGTGATTTACGGCCTACAAAGTGGCTCAGAGAGTCCCCCCCCCGTGTACTGAATTCAACTGGAACTAATTTCTTGTGTAAATAATGAAAAGAGATAGCCTGGGAGCCATTGCATCTATCCAGCTAATCCCACTTGTGGAAGGCATGTACATGTATATGTATTAAACCTGTGCTAAATGATTATATTGCCAGTACAGTGCAGTGCAAAATGTTACAGTCTTCAATTTGTTCTGTGCGCACTGCGCTCTAATCGGAATGTAGAGTAAGGACAGACAATGGGCCGTGTTTGAGCGGACCATAGCGGACAGAGCTGGCTTTGACTATGTGTACGCAAACGAACGAAGAGCGATTCTGTAAATCTCGTATTTTTAGGAAGCAATATACAAGTTTTCAACTTCGTGCCTGTACACGCTCGTACATGCTCATACACATCAAAATTTGACGATTTGCCTTTCAGGAAAAAATCTCTCCATACATTATTCGCGGAAAACCCTACAGGTGCGGAAGAAATCACAGAAAAAAATAGTTTTCAAGTAAAATTTCGATTTTGTTTTTCACAGCTTCGCGGTTTAACGTTTCTGTCTTCATTTTTATCGGTTGAAAATTGCATAGTGTGGATTCGGCTATCCGTCTTGTTACAAAGTAAATATGGTCAACTCGTATTATGCGCATGTCCAGTAGGAATTCCAACTTGGCTCCATGTTGGGTTATCAGAAAGTGCCACAAAATGTTCGTGTTGCAACTTCTCTAACACATTTTTAATTTAAAAATAATCTTTTCTTTTGAGGGCGGTAAAGGACATTCTTATACTCTCGGTTTTGCTATTTTCTTTTTGTCTTTTTTCCCGAATTTGGTTGCAAGAAACCGCCCCATATACCCAACAGGGGAATATTTTGGTAGCTCTTGAACTTTTAGGAAACTGTAGAAACCCGTGAGCGAGAAATACCAGTAGGGTGGCGCAACATAATCTGCCCTCCACCTTATTTGAGGAAGGGCTCAAATTACAATTAACAATGCGCGCGCAGCACAGCAAGCCACTCGTCCCCGTCCAATCAGGAATCTGGGAGAGTGGCTGAGCGATCACTGCTCGTGCGGATCACAATTAGCCGCCGACAATACCGAATCGGCACCGGCTGTTTTGCAGAGTTGGGAGAGTTTCCGCACATAGTTCATCATTCTGTAATCCATCCGTTACACAGCGCTGTTAAGACCAGGTCGGTTGGTTCACGGCCCAGAGCCCCCTGTCTGTCGCCGGGGGATTTTCGTTTTTTTTTTTTTTAGACCGGCGCTCCGAACGTCGTATATCCGCGGTGGAGCTCAAAAGCATTCCGTGGGAACCCTGAGCGATGACTTGTGTGTTAATCACATTACATCAGCCGGTGAACAAACATACACTTCACAGGTGCTCATTTTTCCCCCTATATTTGCCGCGTCGTTCGTGTAGCGACCTGAGTTTAATGTTCCTGCAACTTTGAAATGTTATATGTGTATGCATGTTTTTTGTTCTGTTGACATGTTGCTTCCCTAATATTTCGCCACGGCTACTCGAGCTGCCCTATCCATGGCACCACCACCCATAGCTGAGGCATTGTTCGCTGCCACAATAACTGCAGGGGTAATGCCAGGTCTGTTATTTTTGTGCCTTCCTTCCCCCTGATCTCACACCTCTAACTTGGTGACGTCACTCTTTTCCTTTGTTCAGCCAGAGGTCTTGGTGTCGTTTGTGGGAGCAAGGGGGTGATAAGATATCGCCCGCCTATCCAGGCAAGTTACACAGCGCGGTCCCGTCCGTAGATGTCAGGGGAGCACGCACCAGCCGACACTCTGCGCCGTCTGAAAACAGACGCGGACGGCTTGGAATAATATTACGAACAAGGCGCGTTTTGTCCGCCGAGAACAGCTCGAGCCAAGACTTGAGAGAGAGTCGCTCCACACTGAAACAAGGACAGCACCGCAGGTAGACATCGGTAGATTGCTACCCCGAGTTTTCCCTTCCCGGCCAGAAATCCATCGCGCCCACGGAGGTCGTTTACCACCGGGAGCAACGCCATGTTGACGGGTGGCCACTGCCGGGGCGACCGGCAGTTTATCGCGAGCACAACACGGCTCACTGCGATGAGGAATGCGTGGATACTCAGCATCGTCGTTGCTGTCAGCTACGCTCAAGATGTTACGTGGTGGTAAGTCCAGTTAAAGTTCATTAAACCTATAACACTCCCCCACTTTACCCTTGACGCAGTCAAACATCGTTTATGAGATTGTAAGAATGCAACCAGACGTTATTAAAATGTTCAGTTCTGTGGTGATTAAGTCACTGTACAATGTCCCGGATTGCGGATGCTTAGAAATAGGCGAGGATAATTTAAGATAAAAACAATTTTATTTGTTTGTTTGGAAACTTGCTGGGTATGCTGGGAAAACCACCAGTAATGGCAGCAAGCCAATTTGTTACTGCTCTGATTTCAAAGAAATATCAGGCGAACAAGCAAACGCAGGCAGAAGACCCTTCTTTGGGCGACGTGGATCGAAGTTCTTCAAGTGAAGCGACCCCAACAAAATTCAACTCCGACCTGAGCGTATTGAAGAGGCCTTGGCGGTTGCAACAAAGAACAGAGAGAGATGACCAAAGAATGTCAGTTGCTTATTGATTCTCTGAACATCGGCTGGCATGTGAAAGAATCACCGAGCTCCTCGATCGTTCCCTCGTGAAAATTTCCTCTCTGGAAACATTGCACAAACCATGTTTTTTATATGGGAGATCGGGGGCAGACAAAAATTACATAGAATTAAAAAAAATGATAAAAGAATAAGGCACGACCAGTAGCGTACACATTACAGATATTGCTGTGTGTGTCATCGGATGCTCGCATTCTCAGTCCGGCCAAGCGTGAAACATTCGGAGCCTTTCGGGCATCGGTACAGTATTCACTAGTGAGAGGATGCTGCTACTTTTTTTCAGCGAGCTCAAGGGGGGAAGGGGGAGCCTTGTGGGGGGGGGAAGGTAACTTGGACTATGATACGGGTATCGACTTAATGGGATCATCAAGCACCATTGTTGACTCCGTAATTGCGGGGATTGGTCCGTCGAGTGAGATTTTTTCCCCACAGTCTAACCATTACGGCGATGGGGGCGGGCAGAATGCTCTTTATTATCGCGTGGACTTGCCAGAGATCATGATAAGTGGTGACTTTTTCAGAAGTGAGTCAAATGTGATATTCTTCGGTCAGCTTCCCCAATTGTGTTTTACTTTGTAGGCAGAAAACAGAATGAAACCGAGATGTTCAGATGAAGCCTACCTCAAATAAATTCAACTACCCGTCTGCCAAAATAACATTGTCTTAGAAAAATATTTTGGACAGTAGTGTCCAATAAACATTAATATTATAATTAAGAATGAGTAAAACTATAATGGGAATTTGAAAAAGAAACAGTTCCCCGTTTGTCTTTGACATGGAACTGCACTAAAATGTCAAGATTTGAGCATATTAGTACCAATCCCAAGGTAATTCGGAGTGGTCATATACATGCGGTTAAAAAAAGTTTGTACGTTTTCAACGTTTTGTCCCATTGGTTTGGAATGCTGTGTTGACAGAACGGTCGATTCATCTTATCAAATATCCAAGGGACCTGGCCTTCAAAATGGTCCGAGTTCACCACAAATCAATCGGCGCCACGCTCCCCGGAAACATAAATGTTCGGAGTTATAACATTGCGACCGTTTGCCCTTGACGCAAGCACGATACGTCTGTATGCACATGTATATGTACATGCGAATAGCGAGAGACGTGTATCTGCGAATCGGAGTTTTTTGCCGATCATCTCATTGTGTTGTGGGGTTATTTCCTCACGTGATGCACTTCACCGAGAGTGTGAAATAACAACTCAAAATGTGGCCTCAGTTCTTGTGGTTTCTTTTGAGTTGACGTTATATGGGACCGGTTCGACTATTACAGTGACTCTCCATCGCACCATCACGACTAAATTCTGGAGAATTTCCTTTTGTTTGTTTTCAACAAAGATAAAAGCGAGCACAATCCAAATTGAGGCACATGCAAAGTGCCCACTTGTACCCTTTTTATCGGGCCAGTAATCAGATCCACGCCGTCGAGAGGTCCTCCATTCATTTCAGACGTGTTTAACCCCTCAAGGATGAACCGACGATGAATGGAAGATGACAGCGCCAAGACGTGAAGTTACTCGTCGATGATGTAGGTAGAGGAGACGAATCCTCTCTCGGCGATCATCCCGCCCTGGTATTCAGGATTACCATACCCGCCCGGCGAGCTTACAAACATTTGTGGACACGGTAAAGTGGCGATTGCCCTCCCCCATATTATCTGTGCAATTGTCTCCTCCTTTTGTGGCCGGGTGAGCTGAAGTGTTGACCAGGACGAGTGTGCCACAAGCCCCAACTGAGGAGATGTTTCTGGCCGCCCGCTATGGACAGCGCGATGTTTGCTCTAGCCTCGTTTCCCCCCGGAGGGGCTTCCACATTTCTCGAAATCCTCCGTGCCAAGGAACAACCGCCAACAACGCATTGTGTGGTGAAATTCTTTCCCTGTCAATTATTGTAAGCCATGTTTTGTGATCGGTTAAATATCACTTCACTTTATAGGGACAAACAGTAGCGTCTTCCTGTCATGAAAACATCAAAATACTCCACGTTAATGGCCACTTATCCCCCAGATTCAAACACTGAACCAATTTGCTTTGTGACCAATATTTACACCTTTTTTGTGTTCAAGGGACACTATTTTTCCATAGAAAGGGAAAGAATGTTTTTCGTCTTTGTTTTCCACGTCGAATCCCAAACTTCTCTGTTCTTTTTAATCATTGAATAGCAGATGATTTGTAAAGTTCAAAATGTTTTTATTCAATTCAGTTTGGGTTTACTACACTACCACAAAATGATTTTTCTTGTTTTTGAACAAGATACTACCCCTAAACCAGAGCTATTTTTCAGGTGAAGTTAAAAAAAACAGAAAAACGGTTTGAAAATGTAAAGAAATGTAACCTGCTCGTCACCTGAAGGTCTTGATTTCCGTGAGCAAGCGATTTGTTGTCCGCGAACATGATATGATAGGGTGTTTTGAATGGTGTTAGCCAGTGGTATTCAGCCTTGACTGGGCCCCGTGTGTTTGCCTTGAATTATGGATGGCAGCGGTAAGCACAACAAACAAGAGGATTGCGTGAGATTAGGACGTAAAACACATGGCTACGCGCGCCTGGAATGTGCACCCAAACAGTCCTTGCCTGGGCAAAAATTACATCGTTCATAAAATGTCAGTTAGCCTTTTGGGCCCGTTTTCAAGCTAACATTTTCCAGAGAAGTCTCCAGTTAAAGGCCCTGTGTCACAAATGTACATGTAAATGTACCTGGTTTCAACATTTTAAAATGTGTGCAGCGGTCTAGCCCGTGATGTTTAAACCACTTACTCGATAAATGAGGGCGCTGTTGGTGTGAATGCAGCCAGTTGACACGCTTATTTGATCAAGATGGGGTCCACTATTGAACAAAAAGTCTGTTAAGGATCTGACTGTGGCACCTGATTTATTTTGACATTCCAAAAGCACGTTCTTGTTCTGTTGCAAGTAAACTACATTCTTTTATCTGTGAGTTTTTCCTTCAAGGTATAGACGAGGGATTTCATTCCTTTCACTCCTTTTCTTGACGTCTTCAGGAACCTAGGTGTCGACTCGCGGATTCTCCACCAGTTCGAGACGTTGAGCAGCCCGGAGCTATACATCCTGGGCACCCAGCCCCTGTGCGCCGAGCTGCCGGGCCTGTCCTCCGGCCAGCAGAAGCTGTGCCAGCTCTTCCAGGACCACATGGGCCCGATCGGCGAGGGGGCCCGCATGGGCATCGAGGAGTGCCGCTACCAGTTCAGCAACCGCCGCTGGAACTGCAGCACGGCCGAGACGGGGTCCGTCTTCGGCCGCGTCACTGCGATCGGTGAGTGCACCTGTACTGACCCGTGGAAGGATTTGTTCCAACCTTACAAGTACCCACACTGGTAAGGTTGGGCCGAGGTATAGGGTCTTATTAGTTTCGAGTTTCAAACTTGGCAGTGCGCAGGTGGTTTGCGGTTCCTACGTGTAAATGATATCTGTGGAGTCGTGTGTTGGGTTCCAAGAAGCACTATCCTACCTAAGCCTTCCTTGGGTATGCCCACCCTCCTTGTACTTTTGGTACTGAATCGCACCCTGGACTGCTGTGGTGTCTCACCCCCTCCCCCCCAGGAAGTCCATAAGCTTTGTTCAAAAGGTATACCATGGCTAACACTGTGTCATGAAATGGGGTTAGGACCGACGAAATAACAAGGGATGTTTGTGAGGAAGGTTTTCTTAATTAAGGAGATCCACAAAGTACAAATCTTGAAGATACCCCTATTTGGTACACGCCCACCATTCTGTTGGGCCCACGTATACCCTTGGAGAAGCGCTGGCAGCTTGGATTCAACTCTGCCTTTACCCAGAGAAGGTCAACTTACCAAGACTGAGGGTATATACATGAACATCCTGGGGGGGCTTTAATACTCGCTTGGATGGATTCCTTTAGAGGTCTTCTGCAACCTTGAAAGGGCCCCCCGAAAGTTAACATTGTCTGTCTGTGTCAAGGATCTTGCATGGGGGTTGTATTTTTTCTGTAACAGAGGGTTCTCTTGGAGGAGTCTCACTCTCTTGGGGTCGGGGGGGGGGTTGCACCTTTGGAGAGGGTTCACATCCTTGAAGGGGGATGACATCATTGGGTGAAACTGACGTTCTTTTAAGGGGGAAATAACATCCTTAGAGGTGGCTCATGTCCTAGAGGGGGTTCACGCTCTCAGACGGGTTGCCACCCCTGTCCAGGGCCTTCCATTTTGGAAGTTTAACACCCTTTTCGACCAGGTGCAGCATTTGGGGGAGCCCGCTAACTTGAACCAGCTGTCGAAGATCAACAAGAGACAAGTTGACGGCAAATGTAATCCGACAAGTGATAGGTTAATGTTGCAAATCTGACGATTCAGATTTTTTATCAGTTCGAAATCTGTCTGTGTCGGCAAGCGATATTCAAGTGTCGCATTAAAACACTGTGCTGGCGAGACGCGAGAGAGGAAAAATATTCCTGCAATGCCGTCTTGGAATATTCATGAAGCCGGCCGCGTAACGAGATCGGCCCGTGTCCATTGTGCTGCACCTAATTCGTGAAACACCAGAGGTGGGTGTCGCCTCGGATTTCAGCGCCCGTGAATCGCTGTGTGTATAGTTTGGACCGTCGACAGCACTTGTCAGCAACAAAGAAATATTAGATTTCCCCCCAAACAATGTGCACTCGGAGTTGGTGTTCGGTTCACTCGATGTCTGCAACGCAGAAACAAAAATGGCCTGTTTGGAGTCTTTTGAGAGATTTTTTGAGGGTGCCTTGTTTCGATAAAAGTCAATTACATTGCGCACTTTGTTAACCCTAACTCCCTAAGGTGTGTGCAAAATCATATAAAAATGTAAGGGTTCAGGACTGTTAGGGTTAATGAACATTTTCCCATTCGTGCGCGGTATTTTTCAATACAAGTTGTAACATTATGAAATGTAAGAATACACCCCAACTGCCGCCATTACATTTTCATGATTGCTGATACTTGAATAAGCTTTACTTGTCAGAAGTCATCAACACTTTCTGCTTATACCAAATGCACTGTTATAGCGATATGAAAAGGGTTTCACTTGCAGAAGAAATTATTTTCATAAAGTTTCCAGTAATCTGTCGGATTAATCTTCAAAGCGAGCGAATTTGGAGTGGAAACGCATTTCCGAAATCAAGTTGAAAAGCCGGACCGCTATTGTTCGCCGGTTTTTATCACACCGCTGGGCGTCTGCCATTTTTCAGTGCCTCTTTGTCTGGGGAACAATCCCGCCAAATCTGCAGCTACCGAACCCCTGTACTGTGGGCGGGGCCGCGATACTTATTTCACGGTGGATAAACTTGTTAATAAGACGCCATTGTGGCTTCTATGGCGAGTAATTCGTTTGTTATTGTGTCCCATTCATCAGGCTACATGGAAATTATGTCATGATAATGCGGACCGCGTTTTGGGCCGTTCTCTCGCCACAGGAACGCGACGTGCCATTCGCTCCCCCATATCGCTGTGTTTCACGCGTTCCCTCGTGAGGGAAACCCAACACGAAATCCGATTGAGGAGTGCAGTCGGCCCCCGACCGAGGCGACACACTGTGCCCACAAGCGACCTCACCTGCGCCAAAACTGACTTCAAATTACATTCCTGCAAGCTAAATATGAAAATTAAATGTCCTTCACCGTTTACTTTGTCTGGTAATATATATCTGCATAACCTTGACTAGACTTGATTCCAGGCTGTTGACGGAGCTATCTTTCGATCGCCATACTTGTCATCAACTCTGCCTTTATAACCGACGCATTTTCTCTCGTACAGAATGTTGTGATCTTACATTGTACAATACTCGATCAGGACTGTAAGCTCGGTGCCGCACACCGCATACACTTCTTATCATATTTCACAACCTGTGTACCGTTATATGGAGATTTCGTTACAATTTATACGAGACTTTTTAAAAGAACAATGACATCTATGTATAGTGGTAGTTTTGCCACAATGCATAATTACAGAAATTATACAAACAAAACAACTAGTTATAGTACAGATTAATGCTCTGCTTCAAACATCACCGGTATTATCAAATCTGTGGGCTTTCCCAATGCAGACGTCCAAACACACCGAGCTGAGTCTCTCTAATTCTCTGTTACATCGTGATGGTTTGATCCTGAACAGTTTTGACAGGGCAACCGGTGCTGGCTGGTCACTTTTAGATCGTTCCCTGCAACAGCACAAAGGGGTCTTGGGCATTATTTGCGCTGTGCACAATGTACCTTTCGCTAAACCTGCCTTCAATGCTCCAGCCGAAGTGACGGGGGCTATTTTCAGCGGGGAATCGATCCCCAGTGGACCACGCCGTTGGTTGAAAGGTTGGGCAAAGGGGGGAAAGTAGGGGAAGAAAGAAAGAAAGAAAGAAAGAAAAAGGAATCTCCGCCGTTTACGCAAACTTTATTGTATCAATGGCTGAAGTAAAGCCCGGCGTTGCGAGCGGGGTTTGTTCGGCTCAAATCCCCGCAGGGACCCGCGCGGTTCACTCGGTGTCGTTGGCCCGCGCTCCGCTAAGTTTCTCGAACCATTCCCCGCGCGCAGCTGGTGTAGATAGTGTTGGTATAAACTATAAATGCCTCGTTGGAAATCGCCGGGTCGCCCAGGGCCCACAGATCACTCATCTCAACCCAAAAGACACCGCCGATTACGCTAACGTGCCATTATAAACACCTTCTGCATCCTTGAAACTCGCGCGGGCTTTGGTGAAAAATGTCCCTATAGAGCCGGGAGAAATCCGAACTCATTCATTATGTCGGCAATTACTGACTTACCAGAAACGTAAAGGGCCATCCACTTGTTGGGATTTTTGTTTTTGTTTTTTCATAATATTTATCCCATAAGCTGATATTAATTTTAAAAAATCTGTCTCCAATCGTAGATACATAAAATATACCTAGATCAAGAATTAATCAAATCGACGAATCAGTTAGTCTACCAGTTAATCTGTGAGTGATATTTACAAATTATTTAATAAATCGATCAATCGGTCAAATGAGCCAATCAGTTTGTCATCCCACAAATGACATTACCCCAGGTTTATAACTGACTCTTTAAAATCAGATTATTGCCTTCAAAGTTGAAAAATACCGCAAAAAAGGGAAGATGCAGTCATTATCTTACCGCCACTTTTCATTCTAACTAAAAACTACCTCTATAGGGAGCGGCACAACAGGCTGGAAATTGGTCTGCGGACTCCTCCCTTAAAACTGTGGCAAACCCCAACATTCTCCTTCCTGCAGTTCTCCTCCGCTAGACGAAATAGGCATTAGTCATTGTGTTTCTGTCCTTGGTCCAACTTCGTGGAGTTCCTGAATTGGAAAACATTGTAAGGTGTCCCTTCGGGCTGAGGGGAAAAAAACCCCCCAGCTTCATACCAGTCACGAGCAATACCATCCTGTAGCATTTGAGTTGGGAAACGTTTTTTTTGCTGAGCATGACTATTCTCTCTCAGCAAGTTCACATGCTCATCGCGATTGCACGGCATTGACTTATGGTCGTAAGCCGAAATCAGACCGTACTGTCACGGATTTTATTCGTTTTTTCATCTTTCAACCTGATAAATGTTGTTCCTATTTTATTGCAATGTATTGCGCCATTTGCGTCTGTTTCAGACGTTCGTCTGGACTGTTCTCCTCACCATGCCATGAGTCACACGTTGCACCCGGATTTGCGTTTCAAAATAACTTTCATTTGCAAGAATTATCCCCTAATTCCCTGTGGTTTACGGTGATGCTATTTCCCTCTTTGAGATTTTTTTTTCATCTCAGAAACGTTTCCTGGCCGTGCAAGATTTGATTATTTATGAGTCGCTGCATGAGTCACGCTGCATGCAACAGGGCCGGCCGATTCGAATTAAATATTAAACTGTTTAAATGTGATCATGCCTCGTTCCCACAGCAAGGTTATAATCTGCATGTTTGAATGTAAATTTTGCAACTTTTTGATTTGCAGGTTACATCGGTGTATGGTTAGAGGTAGCCTATAGCCTGAGTCACGCAATTTTCTCAGAATCCTAACTTACAGGCTCCTCTATCTGATTATTGTGTAAGAGGATTTGCAGTTTCCCGGTCCCCCGAGCAACACTCAGTGAAAATTTCAGTGGAATTTTTTTTTGGACTGACTGCAGTAGCTGTGAATCATGAGCAGTTTTTGCATATTATGTGGCTCATCTCTGAAATCTAATTCGCTGGAGTATCTATATACATGTAAATTTGCTTTGCTGTCCACGGCTTCGGCTTTGCAATGTACCGCGTGCCATGGACATAACCGCAGTCGCAGCCGCAAGAGAGCCCAT